GTTTCATTTTCAGGTTTATCCATCAGCTTAAGAACCCTCAGGTAAGGAGTTACGGAGTACTTACTTTAGAAGAGATAAAGGATGCTGAAGTGTATATTTTATTAGAGGCCCAAAAAAGTAAATTTCGAGAAGAAATAAATCAATTAAAAAAAGAGTAAGTGTGTAAACCTCAAAAGTACTAGTGTAGAACCCCCCCCGGGGTCGCGTAAGACTCTGCGAGCACTGGCTGGATCTGTACCTAGGCAGTCTCGGCCGGGTTAAAATTTATGAACTTGGTGGTTCTGAGGCTCTGGAAAGGTCACTTATTGGCCGGCCTCGGAGTCTGGCACGTCCTAGCGCGGCGTGGTTCTAGTAACCCGGGGGTCTCCCCCGGGGTCGCTGGGTAATGTCCCGCTGCGATGGGCTCGGTGGTCGGTTGCAAGTCCGCCGAAGGAAGTCCGTGTCTGTATGCGCTCCGCAATTATTCCCTGTAATTAGCGGAAATTTTAATTACAAGTGATAGAAAAGTTGTTTTTAAGTTGAGTGAGTGTTGGAGGAGCATTTTGATATAAGTTATGTGTTTGTGCGTCTAGTGGTTTTTGTGAAATTAGTGTTTTTGTTATTCGTCCATTGTTCTTGTCTTCGTAGCGTCTCTTCTGTGTGTGTCAACAGTGTTGTGTAATGTGTTAACCTTACGAAATTTATTCTAAGTCCAAGAAATCATTGATAAAAGTGTTTTAAAAATTCATTACCCAGGATTACATTGGATTACCATGTTCGTCTTATCACTGCCAAGGTAGGCTTCTTACATTCTATCTATTGAGCTGTGAGTAACATTGAATAACCGACCAGCTTCATTTTGCGTCAGCCATATTGTCAACAACAACTCGACCTTGACTAAGGTCGTATGCACAGTTCGGTAGAGCCTAGTAACAGGCACTTTGTATTTTAACATTTGATTCTGTGGTCTTGATTACTGAATATAACTAAATCTTATTATTTAATCCTACTTCAAATTCTTGATAATGCTCAATTGTTGTTAGTAGTAAGAGCGTATTCAGTTTTAATATCATTTATATGTGAATTTAATGCTGTAAGTTCTGTTCATTCAATAGTATAGAGGCAGCTGGTTCTGTTCTATGTAACTGCTTTTTTATACAGCCTATTTCTATACATTATGTCAAAATTTTAATATTATCCTAGAAACTTAATTTTTTTTTTTTTTATTATTATTATTTAGTTACATTAAGTCTGATCTGGAAGACTTATCGAACCAGATTTTTGATATCACATTTAATTAAATTATTAAAAATTAATTTGTAAATTTTGCAATAGCCTCTGGTTCCGATTTGCATAACCGGGACTTACCACCGGGGTTTTTTTTTTTTGTTTTTTTTTTTTTTTTTTTTTTTTTTTTTTTTTTTTTTTTTTTTTTTTTTTTTTTTTTTTTTTTTTTTTTTTTTTTTTTTTTTTTTTTTTTTTGTTTGACACAACCGGGTTTTTCACAAGAGCTGATAGTTTTTGTGCTAAATAGGTACTTTCAAAGGGCTATTACTAAAAAACTGAATATATGTGTCAATAATAGTATTTTTTTTCATAACTTTATACTTATAGTACAAAGCACTAATGGTATTTTAGGTCTCCGATAGCTATCTAATTATTTTTTAAATAATTTTCCAAAGTGGGATATATGAGTTTTATTCACCACGTGTGTTTGTTTATATTTGTACTTAGCTATTTTGCCCATATTTTTAGTATTCTGTGGTAGTATTGTGTTATACAACGTTTTAAAGGCATATTAAATTATGATCTAAAACTATAATTTAGCTCTATTTGATTTTTTTTTCTCATACTGTATTTATTTTTAACAACATATTATGTGTTTATTTTGCAATTATTGTGCTTTTTAATGGTTTTATTACCCTGCAAAGATGTGTTCACCAGTGCATTTTTGTTCAACGGAGAAAATTTTCTGTCTCATACCAGAATTATAAAGGAAAATTTTAGGGATAAGTACCCCCCACACAGGAACACTTTTTAGACTAATCATACGCTAAGCCCCCCCCCCCCAATTTTTTTAAACCCAAGCTAGCCCCACAAAATTACACAGGTTCCCCTTTCCTTCCTATTGACATCCCCAGTTCCCCCTCTTCTCTAACTCCATTAGTTTCAGTGCTATTCCTATTTTAATTACGTTTAATTGTATTTAATTACGTTTTATTTCTCTTGCAGCTCTTCCCTGTAACATTCTAACACCTTCTTTTCTTTTTATTCACTCTCTACACAAAATTCCCTTTTCGTAGACACCTTACTTATAGTTAAGAAGTTATAAGCCCCTACCCTTCTTCTTTCCCCCTTTTAATTCACAACCCCCCACTTTTTATTTCTCTAATAACTCAGCAGCCACACCACCTAGAGCCTCCATTCCACCTTCGTTTGTCTTCCCTCCTTATTACCTCTCCGATTTTACCTCTCACTTTTCTCTACGACCCTCTTCTTTCCCCCCCTTTTGATTCTAACCCCCCTTTTTTATTTCTCTTATTACTCAGTAACTATTTAACCCAAAGTTTCCACTCCACCACAGTTTGACTTCACTTCTTCTCCCTTATTAACAATTTCATCTACTATTCATCTACCCCCTCTTTCTTGCCCCCCTTTCTAATTTGTTTCTTTCATCTGTTCTCAGTGTCCATCCCTCTTCTTTCTTAGTTTTCCCGACACATAGTGGACTTAGAGGAATTTCTTTCTCCAACCACGGTTCTTTTACTAGATGGTCAATGAATAATCCTTGTATACTACTAACTGTAATGTTAATCTACTGAGGTAAAACTACCTCATCTTTCTTGCATTCTGAGATAAACAGGGAGCAGTAGGCCCGTATATTAACAATCTCAAACTACACTTCAGAACATTTTGTGGTTAGTGCAAGGTATAATACACTGACATCCCCAGGTGTGACTTTCTTACTAGGCTTACTGTTTAAATTGTACTTACTCACAGCCTACCCTAATTATAGTGTCACTTTGTCTCTGTTATCTGTACTGCTATAGTGATAGTGTTATTTTAATATAGTGTATGCCACACATACATTAGAACCTGCATCAAAGCAACAAGTTCTTTATTTACTGTGACAGCTTTTACACTAGGCTTTTAATAGTCCACAGTGTAACATATTTCTCACTGAACTGAGTTAGTCCTATCTGTGACACTGACTGAACTTTAATGCAGTAATACCCTGTACCGAACTTTGAACTGTTATTTTTTTTTTTTTTTTTTTTTTGTTCAGTACTGCTATCTTGATAATATTCCCTGTATTACTGAACTGTGCAATCAACTGCATTTTCAAACACAATTGCATACCTCCTCTCTATCATATTCGTGAATGTTAAGAATCAGTGTTGTGTGACATCAATTTTGAATAGTGTTGCAATATTGAATAGTGCTCCTTGCCATGCGAAACGAAAATCTGCTGTACCGACTGAAGAAGACCATACCCCTATCAATGGCATACTAGACCCTTTTGCCTTACTTTCTTCAGATCGGACGCACGCAGAGAAAATCGTAGCATTAGCAGAAGATATCAGACAGGCCTCGGCGACATCCAGAAGGAACAAGTACCTCTTGCCAAACGACGTAAGGATACGCATACAAAAGTCGTTAGAAGTTCTACAAGGGCTAGTTCTAGAAGGCCCGGAATACACACTGAAGCCTGAGACAATTGAAATTGGGGTCAACACATCCACCTTCGTCTGTTGCGAAGCAGTACGCGCACAGATTTCTACAACCTCGAGCGATCTTCCTGCACTGAGTGCATCAGTTTCTTCTTACGCAGCAACATCAGCAGTTATACAGGAGCCACCCCCACGCTCTTTTGCAGAAGTAGTGAAACTAACACAGAGGCCTAGTTTAATAATAAAGCCTACTGGTAAGAAGAGAGAAGCACAACTCAGGAAGGAGCTCCAAGAAAAAGCCCCGATTAGCAGCCTACAAATTGCGGTGGAGCATATCTCCTCAACATCGAAAGGAGAAGTTAGAGGTCTTTTGCAAATCAACTAAAGACATAGATCAATTAGAAGAGAAATTACAAAATGCCAACCTTGAGATTGATCTGCAAAGACGGCAAAGAAGAAAGCCACGCTGCACAGTTCATAGCGTCCCGGACAACATCATGCCCGAGGAACTCATCGGGGAAATCGCTGCAACAGCAGAAATCCCATCCACAGGCATCAAAGCGCTCTTCAGACTCCGAGAACGGAACCCAAAGCGAGTCAAATGGGTTTTGGAGTGCGAACCGTCCATCCTTCCGGCAGTTCTTAGGGCAAGACGAATTTTCACAGGCTGGCACGCACACGCAATCACAGAGTACCTGGGCATCCGTCGCTGCTACAAGTGCCAGCAGCTCGGACATACCCAGAATAAATGCACATGCAAGAAGAACTTCTGTGCCTACTGCGCCGGACCGCACAATGTCAAAAACTGCAAAGCAGAACTACCAGAATGTATTAACTGCCGTGACGCAAACGATAGACATGGAACCATGCACGACTGTAGGCACCCAGCCTACGCAACTGAATGCGCAGAATACCAGCGAGCAGCTGCCTACATCCGCAGCATCACCCAATATTAATAACAACACACCACGTAATTGCGAAAGTCAACAAGCGCAAAACGTTCAGATAAAATACAGTGTTTAACTCAAACGAAGAACCCATCAGATTTTTACAAATCAATATGCAGCGAGCCAGGGCTGCGGTCGCTCAGACAGTTCAATTCGCAATTGATAATAAAATAGACTTTATCATAGGTCAAGAGCCATATACCCGCGATGGCGCGGCAGCAGGTTTTCCATTGCAATGGACAGTATTTCAAAGTTCCAATCACGACCATCCACCAAGAGCTATAATAATAAGCTGTAATCCAGACTGGTCTCCAGCATCTATCTCACTCGATTAAGATCATGTAGCAGTGCTCGTAGAAGTATCTATTCTTCTCTGATTATCCTCATATCGAAAATCCCAAATATGATCTTCGCAGGCGATTACAATTCACATAATACGGCCTGGGGATATCGAACTACAGACCCGAAAGGGAGAGAACTAGAGGACTTCATATCCTCAAGTAATCTAATAGTCCAGAATACAGCAGATGCACCACCATCCTTCGACAGGGTCTTTGCGCAGGGATGGCCAGACCTCACCCTGACCACTCTGCACGTAGCACCTCTTTTGCAGGACTGGAAAGTCGAAGAGGAAGAGAGCCTCAGTGATCACAAGTTCATTACCTTCTCTATATCGCAGACCACCTCCGTGTCCAAGATCAAACGCTATAACCTTCCTGGCCGAAAATTAACAACATTTACGAAGAAAATTAAAGTGCAGCTAATGCGCCTCGAACCTTCGCTCCAACTAGCTAACACGTCAGCAGAATTAGAAGACTTCTCCGTAACATTACAAGAAACAATGCAAGCCATATGTAATGAAAATCTCCCTCTTAGAAAACCTAAGAGACTCCAAGGCATTCACTGGTGGTCGAGTGCGCTCAGAATACAGCAACGAAAGTGCAGAGCACTGCGAAGAAAACTCAAAAGCGAAAGACGGTTGGAGATAGAGTCCAACACCCTCACCATATTTCAACGGGAGCGGGCGCGGTACAAAAAGATGATTATTCAGGCTAAGATTACTTCCTGGAGGGAATTCTGCACCCAAGCAAAAAAGACGTATGGTATTCACCACAAAATAGCTACCGTAAAATTTTTAA